CAGTCTCATCCTTTGGTATTCCAGGATTTCTATGCAAAGAGAAAACACACACACAAATGTATTAAGAAAGAATAAAGCATATGATACTAACACTGAAACAGAATATTATTTGCTGATTGAAGAGCAAGAACAAGCCACCAATGAGACAAGCGCTGCATGCAGAATCATTTCAAGACATTTCATTTCTTCTGTCTGCACCCACACTTGAGTTGACATTGGTCCCTCATTACGTCACGGGCATGTTTAAAGCCCCTGCAATTCAGGTTTATTCTAAGAATAACGCAACAGAAATTATGCATTGAAGCACAAAAAAGGCGAGCAAACACGCAAAAAACATATAGAAAAATCATGCACAACTAAGGATGAGGCAGCTAGCTCGCAGGCGTCATGGCAACAGGGATGTGATGATGGTTGAATTTTAATGACACCCAGCCTAAGACTTCATAACTGCATTTATTCTTATTTCAAATAGAAATATTCATTTATAAAATGCGTTTCTCCCAGGCTGATAAAGATATATGAGATTTCTTTTACAACATAATGTCAATTTTAATTGCTATAGAATCAATATAAATATAACTATTAAGGGCTTCTACATCATAACTGGCTCAGTTTCACACGTCTGATTAAATAAGAATTGTGGCAGGTTATTAAGCTGGATGCAGTTTAAAATAAATCCATCAACTATGGTTGCCACCTACACTCGTGATATAATTAGCCAACACAACGATCAAGGATACAACATTGACTATTATTGTGACATTCCAAATAAATCAAATAAGACCAATATGAACCAAAAAGAAAACAAGTCAGTCGAGTAATAAAATAAGAATTCTGCATTCATTTCTACCAGCAAACTCACCTCTACCAACTCGCTCTCAATGCGTCTAAATGCTTGCCAGATGCTCATGCTGAATTTCACCCCAAAGCACGTTAAAGTCATGCAGTGAGACGCAGTTCATTGGCGCAAAAGAATCCTTGAATGAGGGATGTTTCGGCGTGCGAAGGCAACCCGCGCTCTGACGGAATGGTGCTTTGATCACATGACTGCCAACCCCATCCAGATCGTACTAGCCAGCAAATGCGGTCTGATATAAAAACCAGTCTGATATATAAATCACCAATCTTCATTCTTATTTTGTCATATATATTAAGATTAAGGACATTGCCAATTATATTTAGGTTCACTGAGAAAATAAAGCAAGAATCTCAAAGACTGTTTAATTAAATCTAGGCTACTAAACGATTCAAAACGTCTTTCCTTTCAGCGCCCAAATAACTCTTTTTAAGTTATTTTACTGTTTTCTCAGGCATTTTCTATAAAACATATTTTTTTAAAAACTCTTTAATAAAGTTGCTATCCATAGGCTACTGCTCACCACAGTTTTTTCAGTGTTTTTGTTCGTTTTATTCCAAAAGGTGGCAACAGACAAGTGTTTTAAATGAGTCATTGAATCAATCACTCAAACAACTCTTTAAAACATCAACAGTTTTCACGACCAACACACGTTTTTTTTCCCACAAATCAGCTATTAAACAAAACTCCATTAATGGGCTATTCTCCAATTCTGGACATGAATTTCATCAAGACGTTGTGTAAAAACACAACAATTGCCTAAATGAGATAATTTTCAGTTGGTTCGAGCCCGTTCTCATCCCAAGGCGTCATATACGACGCTTTTGCCAAAGCATAAAAATCCAACGCACATGGCACCCTTTAGCGTCAAATGAGATGCAGATATAGACCCTTTTACTATTTGTACAGCGATGACGTGGCTACGTATGCGCGTGCATATTGGCAACGGAAGTACGGCGAGAATCAGCCATGTGTCTAGCTACGTGAGCGGATTAAGCAACACAGGCAGTGAAAGTTATTTCAAAAAGTTAACTTTACTAAATGTTATCCGGCTACCATGCCGTGTACTATAGTGGAGTAGAAGACGTTAGCAGATGGCCAAATATACAGTGGCGAGATATATGCTTTTGAGAAACCGAGCGTGTACACCCGATAGAGATTACGAGCATATAAATCACTGGATGCTTATGAATACGTTGTCTGTGGTCATGTACAGAACGTCAAATACTATGACATAGACTCCTGCGTGTTGAAATCAGAAATTCTTCCACGTCAAAGACAAGGACACGACTATGAGGCTATTAATCAACCATATTACCCAGACCTACATTTGGTTTCCTTCATTTTTTCCAACATTCCTTCTTTTCCATCATTCTTTCCTACATTTATTCTTATTCGTCACCCAGACCTACATTGATCCTTGTCCTTACATTTCATGTTGTTATTGATTGCTGTGTTTACGCACTTTTGTTTAAAGTTTTATTTTGTAATGCTATAGTACTTTAATAGTACTAGTAATTATGTTGCCTGCATAGATTGCAATTTATAACAATTACAAATGAAGATGAAAAGCACTGTGAATGTAGAGGCGAGCATTTTTTAAAATGATGTCCTCGCTCAAATCAACACGTTTAATCGCCTGTGGCTGGCACAGGCGCCGCCGGTGCTTCTGAAACGGCCGTGATCCTGTCGGAATCCTATGGTGGAATATCAATTAGTGCAACCGTAAATGCAACAACCAGACATTTTGATGCTGGGAAACTGCTTTGATAAACTTTCAGAGTTGCTAGCACGATAGAGCCAGTGGGAAACACTACTTCCATGCCAAAATGCGCGCACAACTATTTGATCACGTGGGCTGTAAAAGGGTCTATATATGGGGCAGAAGGCGCCTCCTAGTGGTCTAACCCTACCCCATACCTAAAACTACCTTAACCGAAACGTCTCATTCAGTAGCGGAGTGCAATCGGGAGAGTTGGGAGTTTTCCCGGTGGGCCGGTAATGTTTCGAGGCCTCGAGGGCCGGTCTGATATATTTATTGGAAGTTCGCCATGTGCACTTGGGGCCCAAGCTCAAGCTAAGGGAAGAAAACAGTTTTTTTTTTTTTTACATTTTCTATAACGGAGCATATATTTGCACTAAGTGCCTGTCTTTACAGCAAAACGACGCCTGTCTTGAAACAGCCTCAGTGGCGTAAGTCGTAGGGCATAGTTCTTGAAAGCAGCTTTTGATGCGCTGAGCGCGAGTTCGAGTCCGCCTTTTGCCGAACTCTCTCTTCTCACTTTTCCCAACACATATGTAAAGATGTAAAATGTAAAACCTAACATTAAGGTTTCTAGTGTTATATTTTGCCAACGAACTAAAATTGAAACCATGATATGGCGTTGCACCATTGTAATAACTGACATTAGAAATAGCATCCAGTTTGTGCCGCGGGATTACTTTGCTCACGCGATCGTGTTTTCTCCTAAATAAAAGCTCAAGGGTTTATTTCTTGCAAGTGAAGAAATTAGGATAAAAGTATTTTAATTTTCCTATATTATAGTGTAATGTAGGTTAAAATATATTTTTGAAATACTCATTTTCATTTACATAGTACATTTATAGGCATTTACATCATAGGAATAATTATAAATCATTATTATAATACATGTTTGGCATCCTAAAACACCATTGATAATGCAATGCAGACTGAGACTCTCATAACTAAAAAGATGTTTGAGCCCTCTTCATTGTCCTGGTACAAATTAATACTTTATCTTTGTTCAACGAGCAGTTCATGGGTTGAAGCTCTTAATTGTGACCTCTCAGAGAGCTCGAGATTGATGCATTTAAACTTAAAATGTCCAATATTTTCTTGTGGGGGAGCATGCCCGAACCCCCCTAGAGGCACAGAGTCCACACAACATAGTTTTAGAAATTACTGTGGGAAAGAACGACCATTTATGAAGTTTACTCCAGCATAGTACAACAAAGTTCCTTTTAAATCAGTAAAACTGTAAATGGTCTCGGCTATTAAAATCGTGCCGGCGACGAGGGCCGGTGGTCTACGAAATTTCCCGGTAGATTTTTTGGTCCCACTCCGCCCCTGGTCTCATTTGACGGCAAAGGGTGCCATGTGCGTTGGATATTTACGCTTTTGCAAAAGTGTTGTATATTACGCCTTGGGATGAGAATGCGTTGTTGGTTCTCGAATGAAATGTACTCAAAACTACAAAACACAGATTCGTTGAAAGGGGCGTATCGGTTTAGTATTTCAACCAAGAAAATTCTCCTTCACTGCCCGCTATCGAAGTCTATTGACTCCTAAAACAGTCAGTCGTGGGGAGTTCGTGCGTATACCTACGCCAAAAAGTGCGTATCATATGCACGCGAAAAACGCGTACCATATACAGGCAAATCTCTATGACGCAAATACTGTTTTTGGCGTAAATGGCACAGGAAATGACGTCTTTTACAGACTTTGTAAGCAAAGGGTAGCACACCTTAAAACTCAGCTTTGCTACAGTATATCCATGCCTAAACTAGGCACTACAACCTAACAGATGACAATGAAATATGGGTGTTTAGACGTCCTTTACAGACTTTGTAAGGCAATGGTAGCAAATACTATTTACCTCAGAGTTCATAATAAGCTTGTCCTGAAACTTTTTTTTATAATAACCTACCAAAAAATTCTTTAAAATGTATCTGTTGTGCATGTACTGGTTCTGTTTTCTATTAGTGAAAAATAATTTTACTAGCACTTATTTCCTTAAGGCAGTCTGCAACAAGGTGGAGAGACACTTTACTTTCGTCTCAGGAAAGACAGAACAATACCATATTGAAAAGATTCCCAGGAGCTCTGCTGTTTCTGCTGCTCGGTTTACTTTAGAAGACAAAAATAAGCATACAATGTTACTTCACTTTTGTATAGATATTTTTTGGAGTAGGCCATGTAGCTACTATGGTATATGAATACGGGAATCATTCAGTAGTCTATGTCAAAGAACACATAGTTTTAGACAGCTATGTTTCACATTGACCAAAACTGTTGAATACTGGGTGACACTCACTGCTGTTGATGCAATGGTCAGATACAATATTCACTAACACCCCCGAAACCAACATTGGCTAGCTAGAGAATGTAAAGCTTCACATGCACTAAAGCACTGTTATTTTTAATTGCCATAACCTAAAAACAATTCACTTCAACATTTTACACCACTGCATGAAAGGGTCACACTTTACAGTAAGGTTACTTTCTCTAACATTAAAGTCACCATGAAATAAAAATGGACAGTTTTTAATCGAAAATTGCATTTATTATACATGATGTACATAATTATTTTTAAATACATGTTCCCTTGTAATCTCGAATCGAAATAACTTCCAAACTCTTCTCTGATGATGCGTTTACTGGCCTGAGGGAGGGACAACCTGTCACTCACATGAGATCGACCAATAGCAAACCACATCCATCCAATCAATTACCCATGACAAAATGAAGTCCCGCCCTACATTGCTAAAGTGTTTCTGTTCTCATGAAGATAAGTCAAATGAGGGTCAGTATATAAATCAGATCTCTTCTCAAATCAGAGTTCATGTTTTGGGATTTATGTACAATCCTTAGTGTTTTGTCACAGTGCAGTCAGGGACGGGTCTCTTGAAAGATGTGAATGACGCTGTCATATGCAGGTGGTGGAGTCTGTCTGGGTAGAAATCCTCTTAGACTGCCCTTCCCCAGCCAGAAAGACTCTGCTGGTTCTGTACTAAATGGATCTGTGATGTTAGGAATCAATGCAGCTTGGTTATCATCCTCTGTTTCATCACTAGTGTTGTTAGTCTTTTTCGGTGGTGGCCGAAAAGTGGAGTTCAGAAAGCTGGGGCTTCTGCCCAACAGCTCATTGGGGTCTACGGAGGTCTGCCTGTGGAGGTTTAAAGTCGTTCTTCCCGCATATTCACCGTTCTTGTCAAAACCGTGACTCTTGTAGTGTCTGAGGTGGCAGCGTTGATTACGTGAGCCTTTAGATTCTGTTGACTGGTCTTGACGTCTGGTGATCCTGACCGTAGCTCTCCTTCGTCTTGACATCCATGTAAGGAGGAGGAAAATCAAGATCCCGATGAGCAGACCCATCAGTATTGACAAGCAGAACGCCAGGATGATCTCCTCTGAATGGAAAGGTTATTGAATTTTGTATCAAAAATCATTTTGAACAGTTGAAGGGTATTTTCATATTGACAGTTTAAATTGAGATATAAATATAAGCCAGCTTAAGCAAGACTGCAATGGTAGTAAAACAAAATGCACTGCAATTCTTACCAAAATCAATAGGTTTCAGTATTTCCCAAATCGCATTAGTTTCGTTTGAAGCCATTATAGTTAGCATGTCAATATGCAGCCAAACTGAATCCAAGCCCACACGGACTGTTCACTGTATTTCTCAGGGAATAAAAGGGAAGCTTGCATAAAGGGAAACATTGTCGTCATTCTTCCTGCCTCTTTCCTTGTAAAATTAGCAAGTGTTCGGCTTATCTGTTCAGGACAGAAATCCAGGGGAACAGAGCTGTTTCCTCTTGCATCATTTCCTTCGTTTCAGTGGATACAATACAATGGCTTCTTCACCCCATTATATTATAATTGACCAACTTACACCTTTTGTAGACCTTTCAGCACTTTAAATGTCCTACTTTTGCAGTACATTTGTTTTGAGATTGAGTGCGGATAAAAGGAAAATTCTTGAGTAAAAACAAAAAAAATATAAAAACTAGTTTTGGTTTGACACGGTTCCCATAGGAAAATGAAAACGCCCATAAGGTCTCCGTTGTCAGAGGGGATTTCCTTAAAGCCTTAGTATCTGTGCCATTTGGCCTATCACTGTGTGTTTCATGATCATACAACCAAATAATAATACTCTTAAAAACACCCACCTAAAAGTAGTAACTATATCATTTTTGCCAAGTATCTAAAAATGCACGTCCTCTCGGAAGAAAAAGGAAGATGATATGGATTCCATTGAATTCCCAGTCTCTGTTACCTCCTGGTGTACTGGCAATTACAAATATTGCAGTGAAGGAAACTTTTAGAAAACAATAGCAGGACAGCCTGGAATGGGATGGCTGTCAAAAACAAGAATGGCCAGCAGATGTCATTATTGAACCACACTGTTCTTGATGGGTATGGTAATCTATCTATCTATCTATCTATCTATCTATCTATCTATCTATCTATCTATCTATCTATCTATCTATCTATCTATCTATCTATCTATCTATCTATCTATCTATCTATCTATCTATCTATCTATCTATCTATCTATCTATCTATCTGTCTGTCTGTCTGTCTGTCTGTCTGTCTGTCTGTCTGTCTGTCTATCTATCTATCTATCTATCTATCTATCTATCTATCTATCTGTCTGTCTGTCTGTCTGTCTGTCTATATATCTATCTATCTATCTATCTATCTATCTATCTATCTATCTGTCTGTCTGTCTGTCTGTCTGTCTGTCTGTCTGTCTGTCTGTCTGTCTGTCTATCTATCTATCTATCTATCTATCTATCTATCTATCTCTATCTATCTATCTCTATCTATCTATCTATCTATCTATCTATCTATCTATCTATCTATCTATCTATCTATCTATCTATCTATCTATCTATCTATCTATCTATCTATCTATCTATCTATCTATCTATCTATCTATCTATCTATCTATCTATCTATCTATCTATCTCTATCTATCTATCTGCTCTGTTTTTGAACGCAAGAGCGCGCCCTGTGTAAACGCCCCCTTGTTGTTCCCATAACACCGATAGGTGGCGGCAAAGGTCACATGAAGTAACGCGGCCTTGCAACAATGTTTAAAGGTTTCCAAAGCAACCCGTCTAACAGATCTTCATTATCATCACATGAGACTGAGCCCTGAGGGGAAGGAAGCGTCTTCTGTTCACGGTAATACACACACTACTATACAAATGAAACTAATGTATTATGATGATGAACTGGTGTTCTTGGCGATTTGCGTAATGATATTTCCTGTTTAATCTCCAAGCCTGCTTTTTAGACTTCCGACAAGCTTTTTGTGCTGATATTTATCTTGTGTTGACGACTTTCTGTTGTCTTCACTAGTTACTTGCATAACTTTGTCTGATATGCATCAATGCATGCGAAGTCCATGATGTGTTTAATGTGCAATAAACAAGTAGACTACGATGAAAAGTTATCCCAGGTGGGCAAATACTCTAAATAATTGATGAGCTCTATAAATAAAGCTCTTTTCCATATAATAGAAATTAATTAGTCAATAAGTCCATAGATTATTATTATTACTATTATCAAACTGATAAAAATTAAATCAGTGTGCACACAACAGTACAATTGCACTGAAAATATGCAGTTCTACCTGATATTAAAAATAACTTTTGCATGTGTAACCTTATATACTAAATTATACTGATTTGTACTGATATTCATTCTTAAAATAACGATGTTTATTGTTTATTTTAAACGTAAGTTACACTATATTTTACCTCATCTAAATCATTTTACACCCATTCTGTTAATTTTTCTTCTTGGTTCACTGACTAGATAGAAGAGGACTTGTGATTGGTCGACTACCTGGTTGGGAACCTAAATGAAACCTGATTTTCTATTGGATCGTATCAAGTTCCTGGAGTTTCTGCATCAGAGTGAGACAGAGAGAGAGAGAGAGAGAGAGAGCAAGAGGAGGAAAGAGAGTTGTAGGAGGGGCAGATGGGGATGCCCCTTAAGAAAGTAGTGCAGTATCTGCTGTCTAATGTGCCGACTGCATGAGTGATCCGGTGTCAGAGGAGCACAAGACTGTAGAGAGGGACCATGGCTTCCCTAAGCCCTTTCGGACGGTCCACCAAGGACATTATGAATGTAATGCAGAGGCTGCAAGGTAGGTGATGCTCTATTTCTGTTCTCCCAGCTCCCATGACCGTCCTCTGGCTCTATGAGTCAGGAGGAAATTTGCTGATTCAGTGCCTTCACACAGAGAGTTTGCCAGATGCCTCTTGTTGCACAAATGCACCATATTTGATAGCATAGGAACTTACCCACTTGAGAAATCAATATTCGTGCTTTACATAATGGCTATGCGTGTCCATCCATTTATCTTTAATCTAATGTTGTCATCAAATAGAGCTTATGGCAGTGTTGCAAACAGAAATATTTGTGCATTTGAACTGTCCCAAGGGAATCATACACTATGCATTATGATGGTTTACGGACGGCTTGTTTTATCAGCTGAGAGTTCGAATGCACTGGTTTTGTGCTGCAGTACTTGAGGTTTTCAAATAGAGGATCTATTTGTGTTTTCTGTGTATTTTTGGACATAATTGTGTCTGCCTGGTGCTGACATAAATTGGAAATTTCATTTAAATCACATAGATGGCATGTAATCTAACTACAAAGAGCTGGATTGTTAAATTACCCTAGTCATGGGTTTTTTTTTCCCCCACCACAAAGATAAGTGATAAAATATTGAGCATTTGGGGAAAATCCATTGGGGATTAGATTTGTGTTTAAAATAAGTTTAGCCCATGAAGGTCATCATTGTCTTTTTCTTACAGGAAGTTGGCCTTGACAAAAGGCCCTTATCAAAAACTTGTGTTGCTGCCATGGAGAGAATGGTTTTGTTTGACCTTTCTTGCTTGAATGATATTTACATTCTTGATGATAAGGTTGTTTTAGTTTACTGGAATGCTATGTCATGTCATATCAAATGCGTTGGAGACACATTTCTGCCAATATGGGGCATGCCAACATAATGAGTATAGATTTTTAGGTGGCAGGAAAGGTTATATGTTTTGCAATCATTTTTTGAGGAAGACAAAATATAAAACCACCCTAAAGAAAAACATCGAAGCGATTATTGCTGTTCTGGGAGCAAGTGATGACGTTGGGATGCATGGGCTCATGCTGTTAGGAAAATGTTTCTATAATCCACCGGTTTTGCTGGGCAGCTAAAATATTATTCATCACCAAATCCACATGATTAAAGGGATAGTTCACCCTCCCCATGTCATTCCTAATCTATGATCTTTTATCTTTTATTTCTTCTATGACAGTGCTGTTAGTGTTAAATAAAATTTAAATGGAATACATTATAAATATTAAATGAAGAGTCCAAATGAGCTTCAAAGGGCGACACGATCGGTCAGTTCAAAAATAACTAAAAAAGTTTAAGTTTTATAAGCACAAATGCTGAAAAATTTAATTCCCAAATGACTCGAAAAAAGATTTGTTCGTTTTGATGAACAAGTTCGAACAGGAGAGTCACGAATGCGTATCACAGAACAGAGCAAGGCGAGCATTTGTGCTTATAAAACTTTTGTATTTATTTTTTTAAATGAGCGATCGTTTCGCTAGATAAGACCCTTATTCATCGTCTGGTGTCGTGTAAAGCCCTTTAACAGTTTGCAGTTTGCACTGAAACTCTCATTTGGACCTTTAACCGTTTGGTTCCCAATGAAGTCCATTATATGGAGAAAATCCTGGAATGTTTTCATCAAAAACCTTAATTTCTTTCCGACTGAAGAAAAGAAAACATGGACATCTTGGAGGACATGGGGGGAGTAAATATCAGCAAAAGTTTTTTTTAAAAGTAAACTACTCCTCATTACAACAATAGTATTGGTTCTGTGAAATGAATCAAAACCAGTGTTACTCACATACAGAGCAGAAACAACTCATCGACGGCCATTTTGAGGCCTTCCCGCTTAGGTCTCTCCAGCGCTGGAAAGCTTTTCTAATATAAACGCTGGTCCTAAAGCTCTTGCCTGCTCATAACCCTTCTTTTTCACTGATATTCCTCTTTTGTAATGTCTCTCAGTCATCTCTCTTTCTACAGTCTTTCTTCAAATCTCCCTCTTGCTCCCTCTCTGGTGGACACGCCCCCAATTTCTGATTGGCTACAAGTGTGTTGTGCTGCTCGATCCGATCCACTCTCAACAGCGTTTCACAGAAATCACTTACTGCACCTTTAAGCTTGCATCACTGTTACTTTTGCTTGTAGTTTGAACAAACCCAAGAAAGGTTAAAACACCCACACTAATCTGCTGGATGCCCATGTATTGTTGAGTGTTTTTGTCTAAGAGTTGGATAGGGACTCTAGAGGAGTAGGTGGTGTGTGTGGGAACACCTGACACCTCTTTGGAAGATGTCCTGTCCTTGGAAGATGGAACAGATCGATATTTGGACTCTCCGGCGTTGTGTGTGCCCCTACTTATTGACTGATGGCCGTCACTCAGTCTTGGCAGTGGACTGGGGCAAGTCTATAAAAATGACAAATTAGTTGTACGTACTTCTGTGCCCATCTACATTTGATGGCAACCCGCTGGTCGAGTACAGACAGACCTTTGAGAGCGTTAATCCCGTGACTAAGTGAAAGCAGATGTTTCGCTGTGGGCTTTCATGCAAGAGT